TTTATTTGGCTGTATGAACGCATGTACGGTATCCCATATAACCAACTTTCTTATTTTATTTTATTTTATTCTTATTTTATTTTATTTGGCTGTATGAACCCACCATTAAATAAGTGCAAATATTTTCAGGGGTGGTATATTTTGACCCCAGGAACACGTCTATGATGTTCTTTTACAAATAAAATATGTTGAAAATCGTGCATTTTCTTTTAAATTTCGATATAATAATATTTTAATAATAAATTTTCGAATATATTTTTCGAAAACTTTTTAGAACTGCCTGTTCACCGCTAATTTTCCCACGTTATAAATTCTTAATCTCTGATATTACCATAGTTACAGCTTTACTCTATGGTTACGGCACTAAAAGGGATGCAAATACAGAAAAAATCAGGTGGCTATCAAAATTAAAAAAATCAATTCTTTTAAATTTTCAAACTTAAATAACTCGGTTATTTTGGACTTATTTGAAAAATGGTAAAGAAAAAATATGTTTCTTTATCGAGATCTACCAGCCCTGAAAAATATTTGCAACCTATTTAAGACTCACCCTGTATAATAAAAGTAACGGCGAATTGTTGTAGGCACAATAGTAGCCGAGATTGTTACAGCTCTGGCAAGATTTGATATGGGTTGGCGCGCTTTAGTTCGATTCTCGATGACCCCATATAATTTTTTTAAATGGTTTTGATTTTTTTTATCCTTTTGAATTCAACAAAAATATTAGGTGTCAACTATATTACTAGCCAATAAATTGTAGAGGTTTGAGAAATTTTGTGTAGTTATACATTTAATAAAGCTCGTAATAAAGTGGGAGATCGCTCTAACATAAATAACAATTCCGGTTTCGTGGTAAGTAACTTAACCTTAATTTTGTTATTTTAAATAAAAAACACCCTGTAAATTTTAATATCCCTCTAGTAAATGTAAGTCGAAATGGTGCTTCATCTTTTTTTATATATTTAATAGTTTCGGAGATAATAGCGTTCAAAATTTTAACTTCCTTTTTACCATTCAAATAAAATTTAAAAAAATATATACAGTGTGTCCAAGATACGTATATCTCGAAAAGTATTTTAGATACCTAAAACGGTTCATCACGAAAATTATTCTAAATGTATGGCGTAAACATGAGAGGATTTCCTGGGGATGTACCGAGGATGTACTAGAGGATGTAGGGGGATGTACCGGGATGTACCGAGGATGTAGTGGATGTACCGAGGATGTAGGGGGATGTACTAGGGGATGTACGAGGATGTAGGGGATGTACCGAGGATGTAGGGGATGTACCGAGGATGTACTGGAGGATGTAGGGGATGTACTAAGGATAGAGGATGTAGGTGTACACTTTTTGCCCTATGTGTTTACCCCTCGGGAACACCCTGTATATTATCGCATTTTGCATATTATTGCATATTTAGTATAATTTACCTTTATTTTAATCGTAGTTAAAATAAAGGTAAATTTGATTACGGTTTATTACACTTTCAATTTTCAAAATTTCAATTTTGTAAAATTGCAGTATAAATTTTAAGGCTTCATTTCTCCGAGGGTATCAAAGTTTTTAATACTAAATATTTACTGAAGTTTATTTATTGATCAGTTATGGTGTTGCAATAATAAAAATTATGCTACCTTATACAGAGTATCTAAAAATTTATTTTAAATAATTACTAGCTTTAAACGGCAATAACTTGTTTAATTTAAATGGAATACCCCGTATATTTTATGAGAATCAAATGCACAATTTAAATGTCTATCAAATTGTATTATACCACTTTTTACCTATCGCTTCAAGTTTTCGTAGAAAATGCATTTTCTTATAATTTAGACCTCATTTATTATTTTATTTGACATTAGACCCAAACCAAACCCATGGAATATTGACATTTTAGATTGTTTTTAAAACAACAAATGTAAAAAATGTACAGGCTAGTAATATTATCGTGTTTAGTAAAACGATAATATTACTAGCCCATTTGTATGCAAAAAGAAAACTATCTAAATCTTGATAAAATAGTATACCATTAATTAAATATACCACCAGTATTTCCGCCCAAATACTATTTAACTACATACTTAATTGTGTTCGTTAATAAATTATTCTAAATAAATGTGGATTTGAATCAGAAATCAATATAATAATAAGTTATGAAAATGAACGTCTCTGTTGTTAAAAATAAGCATTTGTCAAAAAATTAAATATCATTTTTAAGGTATTACTTTTTACCACACTGTCTAATACACATACATAATTCACTTTTTTAGTATTTGGAGCAATTATTATTAATCAACGCAAACAGTCAATTAATGTAATTTGAATACTGGAATCATATTAATAGGTCCTCTTTAACAAATATTTAAACAGTTTTTTTTTATTTTTTAATGAATAAACGAACTATATTGACAATATTAGTATCTGTGCTCTTAAAAAATTTGGTACATCTTTAAAAATAATCTAACAGGTCAGTATTCCATGGATATATTGATAAATGAGTTCTAAATTACAAGAAAATGCATTTTCTACGGAAGCTTGAAGAGATAGGTAAAAAATGGTATAATACAATTGATAGACAATTAAATTGTCTGCATCTGAAATGCACTTGTATGCAATTTGAAATTTCTTAATTTTAAGTAGTTGAAATTCATAAATATATTTTGAACGCCCTGTAGCATATAACTAAAATATCTTTACATAGGTCTTTTTCTATATCTCTATAAAATTCTCCTACCAAATTTTAGTTCTCCAACTTCAGAAACAATACCATCACGGACAATTTTTTATCACACTGCAATCTAACATTTGTTTAAACAAATTTAAATATTACAAAAACTATTAATTTTAGGTAGAAAACATTATATATAAAAAAGTTATGGAATTTTACGCAGAATCTAAAAATAAAATAAAAAATAGGGTGTTCCATTCCATCCATTTTTGAAGCACCCTGTATACTCTATAATAATTTTAAAATGTATATCTTAACCGTCCCTATAACTTTTATATTTAATATTTTTTTGTAAACCTCGAAACAATTGAGATAATGGACTTTACTCTATCGTTGACTCACCCTGTATAGTCGATACTATCAGGGTAACTAATACTGTTACCCTAAACTTAAAAGTAAATTGAAGCTTCTACTAAAGCAGCGAGTACTCAACATAAAGAAGTAGTTACTAAATAATTGTTACATAAGGGTACTTTCAATAGCGACTTGATATATTAACTTATCTCATTGTCCTTAGTTATAGGACATATAAATTTATCTCAGCGTTTTCACTTACAACTTAACAAGTATAGCTAGAGACGTGAGAAATATAAAATAACACGCGACCGGTGCTATCCACAAGTCTCCTCCTATATTTGTTCAACTCTACAATTAAATTTGTCAAGATATGTGGCGAATACCTCGAAATCAAAAGATTCAGACAGAAAACGGGGATTTTTTCATTTATCATCTAAAAACAAACTGATAAACGAATTAGTTGTAGTTGAAAATATTGATAGACGTCTACCAAAGTTTTTTACAAAATTAGTGTGCTGCTTCTCTGCAAGAATTTTATTCTACTATTTTTTTATTATTTAATAATTTTTATTTCAAAATTTGAAAGGACATAAAAAATATAGTTTAATACTGCCAGCGCAATAAATAGCTGATTAAACACACTATACAGAGTCGCTGATATGTATGGGAGCGGTCGATTATTAGGTAAAATCGAGGGTAAAATATAAGAGGTACCGCAAAAGTACAGGGTTTGTAACAGTTATAGGGTTTTAAATATCTATTAGTGGGTAATAAATTTAAGTATACAGTTTAATACACATAATGAACGTAAATTCAACAATTTCCGAATTATGAAGTTTTGATTTTGAAATGCTAAACGAAAATTTTGTAATTTCCAAACTTGAGATAAAATGAGATTATATTCATTTTATATACATCTTTAAATGCTAACTTGAAAACTAATGTCAAATATTTTTAAAGTATCACAGTTTCCGCAGAATGGCATTGTTAAATGAAACCAAAGACTTCTTCATCTCTTAATACCCTAGAAGTCTCGTCTCGCATCAAAATCCGACCTGTCGATGGGGCCAAACCAAACCAAACCAAACCCAACTTCGTGGAGCCTCGCTATTTTGCTCGGAATTGAACGAATAGACGCGCGGCGTTGCCTTGTTTTGTGTGTACTTTCTTGAATAGTTTTAAATTTATCTATTGCTATAATCAGTCTTTCCGCTCTCCGCACTCCGCAGTTTACATATAATATTAATTATTTTATATAGTAGTGCTCATCTTAGAGAACGAGTTATTATTCTCCGTATTTACTCCAGTTTCCTAATACTAGCAAATTTTTTATTGGAATAGAAGTAATTTATATTAGCAGGTACAGAAAAATTAAAAATCTAAAATTTTATTTTCATAGCTACGTTTTTATAGCCTTAGGATGCCTCATGTATACGAAATATATAATACATATTTCTTTAAATATCGAGAAAAAAAAATATTTTGGCAACACCGTACGAAATATCGCCGCGCGTAGTCCTCAAAATTTAAAATATTAGTAAATTCAGGCTTCGATTATGTTCAAAAGCGCCACCGTGTGACAGATCGCTAAAGCTTCCACAGAGCGTTCTTAAAATTATAATATTCTTTGATGAAACCGAACAGATCGAAATTAATTAAATCTAATTATTTTAAGTGATATTTCAAAAGTCAATAACTCAGAAACGGTTGGTTTGAGGTACATTGTGTGTATCTGAATTTTTGCTTAGAATTGAAGGGAGAACCAAAATATACAGGGGGTTCCATTTAAAAAATGAAACTTTGATGTGCCACGACTTTATGACCGACCCTGTATACTTAACTTTATTAACCGCTAATAGATATTTAAAAACCCTATAATTTTTATATTTAACTTTTTGCGGTATACCTCTATATTTTATAATTTTTTTCTCCACCGGTACGTTTATACTAAATGCGCCCAATGAATTCCAAACTTACATCTTCTATGATGAAGGTCCATTCCTTGTCCTCTAGCTCAGGAGTTCTTGGATCCTTGAACAGCGTAATAGCCACCTGGTGATTTTCTGGTACCGGCCACACCACCATAGCCTTGTAAGGGTTCTGAAGGGTAGGCTCCCATGCCACTGGATTGGAAGCTACTCTTCGCGATCTTCTCGACCATACCAGTGATATCCGATGTGGTTCCCTATATTTACAATAAACAATAAATACTTGTCGAATAGAAAATGTATGAAATATAATGATCTAAAAAGGTTTCATCATTAAGAAGAATTATGCAGTAGATTACGTGTTCTGAGTTGAGACCCGTCTAGACATAATGATTTACCTGTCAGTTAAAAGAATCAGGTAAGACGTATTTTAAATTTCAATCTAAAGTGTCATGGTTGTGTTAAAAACACTAATTTTTAATCAAGGAGTCTTGGAAAAAAAAAAGATTTGATGGTGTAATATACTTATAGAATACCTAATCTGTGGTGTAATGTTTTTATATCTGATCTAAATGTTGAATAAATATCTTGACAACCGTTCACCCTATCGAACTAAACGAAGAGCACCTTTTTTACGTAGAAAAGTACTATATAGCTTTTTACATCATTTGATAAAATTACTGTATCTAGAAGGATAGAAAAAAGTACCACCAGTAGTACTCTCTATACTAATGGGAACTATCCTTTGAGGCATGTTACGGAATTTTATACTATCGCCATTTGCTTTGGCATTAAAAATTAAAATGTGTGCAATATTACCAAATTTCAAGAAAAACGGTTTACAAGAAATAAACAAAATATATTATTATGTTTACCAACCCTTTCAAGGGCTGTAACTTCTTCGGGAAGCATTTTAGGGCATACATATCCATAGGAACTTTTTGTTATATTTTTATCTGTTGAATCACCCACCGAAGTTAGATACACTATTTTTTGACACCCAGTAATTGTGGATAGTTGAAAAATTTTCAGAAATTTTAAAATACTAAATTTTCTTTCATTTGTTTCAGTTGAACATTCCACAGTATCTACAGGGTGGCGCCTCTCATACGCCTCGGAAGCTCTAAGGAGAACGGTAGTTTATATCGAAATGAAATTTTGGCAGAATATGTAGGTTAACCGAAAGCATTTTATAAAAATATATAGAATTATACAGGGTGTCCCCAAAAAAAGTTACACATCAAAGTTGTGTTTTTTCTAATGGAACACCCTAAATATTAATTTTTTCGGATTCTAGGAAAAAAATTAAGGTAAGTATTATTAAAGAAGCATATACCTAAAATCTAAGGATTTTGAAGTATTTCACATTTTGTGAAAATGAAGAGTAAATTTTAAATTTCGGTAACAGCTACCTAAATTTTAGTTGACTTTGTATAGCCTGATATTTAATTTCAGTAACCATTGTATGTTAAACCAAATTGAAATTTGACCCAAAAAGTTATACAGGGTGAAACAAAATTAATATGGAACATTAGTAACTTTTAAAAGCAAGTTACTCTTTATAAATAAACACCCAGTATATTTTTCCGGTGTTCAATAAGGAATTTATATATCTTCAAAATATTATTATGTCACCTACCCCTCCGACAAAGATCTTGGTAGATATTTTATTCTTTATGATTTTGCGTCAGTAGAAAATCATGATAAAATACAATTCCCTAATACAATTTGCTGTACAGGGTGAGTCAACGATAGAGTAAAGTACATTATCTCATTTCTTTCGAGGTTTAAAAAATATATATATTTTTAATATAATATATACATTTTAAAATTATTATAGAGTATACAAGGTGCTTCAAAAAAGTGTGGCGGATACAACATATATGTTTTTTTTAAATGCAACACCATATTTTTATTTTATTTTTAGATTCTGCGTAAAATTCCATAACTTTTTTTATGTAATGTTATATACCTAAAATTAATAGTTTTTGTAATATTTTAATTTGTTTAAACAAATGTTAAATTGCAGTGTGGTAAAAAAATGTCAGTGGTGCCATTGTTTCTGAAGTTGGAGTACCAAAATTTGGTAGGAGAGTTTTATAAAGATGAACAAAAAGATATATTATAATATTTTAGTTAAATGATACAGGGTGTTCAAAATATATTTATGAATTTCAACTACTTAAAATTAAAAAATCTCAACTTTTTTTAAATGGGACACCATTTCTATTTTTACCTATATTTTTAATACAATTACGCTATAAAATCATAGTTACCATGACAAAACAAACTATTTATTACTTATCTTTAACAAGTAGCTTAATAATTAGTTACAATTGCTGGTATTAGTTAAATTAATTAACTTTACTGAAATAAACTAAAATCGCAGTCGTGAATTTCTTGGTGTATTTCTACAGGGTTGTTCACCACATACGACACGGAGTATTGTAGCTAAACGATTAGATTTTTACAAATTGTAAGTTTTGAGTTCGTTGAAGGACTGTTAGAGCTACAATTTAAAAATATTTTCACAAGATACAGAGTGTCCCAAATAAATAAAAAATATCAAAGTTGTATTTTTTTAAATGGAACACCCTGTATATTATCGCATTTTGCATATTATTGCATATTTAGTATAATTTACCTTTATTTTAATCGTAGTTAAAATAAAGGTAAATTTGTTTACGGTTTATTACACTTTCAATTTTCAAAATTTCAATTTTGTAAAATTGCAGTATAAATTTTAAGGCTTCATTTCTCCGAGGGTATCAAAGTTTTTAATACTAAATATTTACTGAAGTTTATTTATTGATCAGTTATTGTGTTGCAATAATAAAAATTATGCTACCTTATACAGAGTGTCTAAAAATTTATTTTAAATAATTACTAGCTTTAAACGGCAATAACTTGTTTAATTTAAATGGAATACCCCGTATATTTTATGAGAATCAGATGCACAATTTAAATGTCTATCAAATTGTATTATACCACTTTTTACCTATCGCTTCAAGTTTTCGTAGAAAATGCATTTTCTTATAATTTAGACCTCACTTATCAATATACCCATGGAATATTGACATTTTAGATTGTTTTTAAAACAAGAAATGTACAAAATATACAGACTAGTAATATTATCGTTTTTAGTAAAACGATGATATTACTAGCGCATTTGTATGTAGAAAGAAAACTATTTAAATCTTTATAAAAGAGTACACCATTAATTAAATATACCACCAGTATTTCCGCCCAAATACTAATTAATTACATTAATTGTGTTCGTTAATAAATTATTCTAAATAAATGCGGATTTGAATCAGAAATATATATAATAAAAAGTTATGAAAATGAACGTCTCTGTTGTTATAAATAAGCATTTGTCAAAAAATGAAATATCATTTTTAAGGTGTTAGTTTTTTAACCACACTGTTTAATACATATAAATAATTCAGTTTTTTAGTATTTGGAGCAATTATTATTAATCAACGCAAACAGTCAATTAATGTAGTTTGAATACTGGAATCATATTAATTGGTCCTCTTTAACAAATATTTAAACAGTTTTTTTATTTTGTAATGAAATAAACGAACTATATTGACAATATTAGTATCTGTGCTCTTAAAAAATTTGGTACATCTTTAAAAATAATCTAACAGGTCAGTATTCCATGGATATATTGATAAATGAGTTCTAAATTACAAGAAAATGCATTTTCTACGGAAGCTTGAAGAGATAGGTAAAAAATGGTATAATACAATTGATAGACAATTAAATTGTCTGCATCTGAAATGCACTTGTATGCAATTTGAAATTTCTTAATTTTAAGTAGTTGAAATTCATAAATATATTTTGAACGCCCTGTAGCATATAACTAAAATATCTTTACATAGGTCTTTTTCTATATCTCTATAAAATTCTCCTACCAAATTTTAGTTCTCCAACTTCAGAAACAATACCATCACGGACAATTTTTTATCACACTGCAATCTAACATTTGTTTAAACAAATTTAAATATTACAAAAACTATTAATTTTAGGTAGAAAACATTATATATAAAAAAGTTATGGAATTTTACGCAGAATCTAAAAATAAAATAAAAAATAGGGTGTTCCATTCCAACCATTTTTGAAGCACCCTGTATACTCTATAATAATTTTAAAATGTATATCTTAACCGTCCCTATAACTTTTATATTTAATATTTTTTTGTAAACCTCGAAACAATTGAGATAATGGACTTTACTCTATCGTTGACTCACCCTGTATAGTCGATACTATCAGGGTAACTAACACTGTTACCCTAAGCTTAAAAGTAAATTGAAGCTTCTACTAAAGCAGCGAGTACTCAACATAAAGAAGTAGTTACTAAATAATTGTTACATAAGGGGACTTTCAATAGCGACTTGATATATTAACTTATCTCATTGTCCTTAGTTATAGGACATATAAATTTATCTCAGCGTTTTCACTTACAACTTAACAAGTGTAGCTAGAGACGTGAGAAATATAAAATAACACGCGACCGGTGCTATCCACAAGTCTCCTCCTATATTTGTTCAATTCTACAATTAAATTTGTCAAGATATGTGGCGAATACCTCGAAATCAAAAGATTCAGACAGAAAACGGGGATTTTTTCATTTATCATCTAAAAACAAACTGATAAACGAATTAGTTGTAGTTGAAAATATTGATAGACGTCTACCAAAGTTTTTTACAAAATTAGTGTGCAGCTTCAAAGCAAGAATTTTATTCTACTATTTTTTTATTATTTAATAATTTTTATTTCAAAATTTGAAAGGGCATAAAAAATATAGTTTAATACTGCCAGCGCAATAAATAGCTGTTTAAACACACTATACAGAGTCGCTGATATGTATGGGAATGGTCGATTATTAGGTAAAATCGAGGGTAAAATATAAGAGGTACCGCAAAAAGTACAGGGTTTGTAACAGTTATAGGGTTTTTAAATATCTATTAGTGGGTAATAAATTTAAGTATACAGTTTAATACACATAATGAACGTAAATTCAACAATTTCCGAATTATGAAGTTTTGATTTTGAAATGCTAAACGAAAATTTTGTAATTTCCAAACTTGAGATAAAATGAGATTATATTCATTTTATATACATCTTTAAATGCTAACTTGAAAACTAATGTCAAATATTTTTAAAGTATCACAGTTTCCGCAGAATGGCATTGTTAAATGAAACCAAAGACTTCTTGATCTTAATACCCTAGAAGTCTCGTCTCGCATCA